AGCTATACTGCTTATCCTTACAGGGTCACGGTGGGCTGGAGCCAATCCCAGCTGACATTGGGCGAGGGCCAAGTACAACGCAGGACTGACGTATAGAGACAAACAACCAGGCACACTCTCATTCACACCTACGGGCAATTTAGAGTCACCAATAAACCTAATGTGGACTCTTTGGACTGTGGGAGGAGGCCGGACCCATGCAAGAAGAGGACGAACATGCAAACTCCACACAGAAAGGCCCCGGGTTCAAACCCAGGACATTCTTGCTGTGAGGTGACAGTGGTAACCGCTGCCCCACCATGCCAACCAATGGCAGTTATAGTATAACTGGGGGGTAAACGATAAGTAGCTGGATTTCAAAAGAGGAAGTTGTGGTTTGTGAAGCTTCCTCTGAGCAGAAGGTTTACAGTCTTAAATCTTCGCACTGAACAGTATTTAAGTCAGATAAACCTTGTCAGACATTTATTCATTTTCCTCAGAAGTGCTGAGGAGTGGTATTTTCACTGTACTTTGTTCAGTTTTTTGGTCTAATGTCATAGTAGAAGGGGAAATGCAGCTATTGTGAATGACGTGTCCCGGAAGCTGAGAAACCGTGAAGTGTGGCTTGCAGAGATGCAACAGCGATGATCAGTGTTTAGACGACATCGAGAACTATGGAGCGTCTTCCTCTGCTGTGTCTCTGTGTCCTGACCTGGTCTGCAACAACGTTTGCTGATGTAAACCGTAAGAAAACTTTAGACTGATAATCAACTTTAATTCTTTTCTGTGTTACTGGCTGAAAAATCTGTATATTTATTATTGAGTCTGATAATGAAAACACGTGCACCTGTTACATCAGCATCTTTGTAAAAAAAAAAGTCAGTTGTTGTAATATGAAAACTGATAATTAGCACAAATCAGTACTGAAACATCAGGCTCTACAACACAGGTGAAGGGTTTTAATTGCAGGATCCTTCTGATCCATTACAATCATTTAATGATCTGTGCAGTTTTTTGAACATATACCTGTCAGCGGATGTGCAGGGTGTCGTCACTACTTCCGAAAGTTTACTTCAGAGAAATCAAAACTGATGATTTACTGGTAAACATAACTGAACTGTGGGCGCTGAAATATCTGAAATATAAAATGTGGCTGCGGCTCCTGCCTGAGAGTCACTGAGAGATTTATTGATCATTTTTATTTATTGTATTTATTGAGATAGAAAGTTGATGGGTGGAGTGTGTGTTCTTTCTTTTCTTAAAAACAAGTGAATTTATTAGTTGGATTTTATTTTATAATTTCATGTAAAAAAAATATTGGATATTGTAATGTAATAAAATGATAAACCATAAAACATTTGCTTTACCTTTTTAAGAAAAAATGTCAAAATACTGTTGTGAAACTGGTAATCAGGCTCAGTGCAACAATACTGTTAATTTTAGATCATATTCATCATAATTAGAGTTTTTATGTGTAACTTTGCATAAAAGTCTTGTATTTTATTAATGTTACAGAAAATAAATTAATGCATTTATCTAATAAATAAAATATGTCCAAACATCGTTATTAATCTAATAATTATGATTGTAATTACAAGACTCCAGCTTTCAGATCATGTGTATTTAATGGATGTTTTAAATAAAACAGCTGCAGGGCGTCGCTCACACGTTTTCTAACTTCTGGTCTTTGCAGAGATGAAGATTTGTAGTTTCCTGGTTTTACCCGCTCAGTTCCTTCATGCTGTTTGATAATGACAGAATTCAAGACTTTGCAATTTAACAAGTTCAAGCTCTTCCTCACATCACCAGGCCTCTACATGTGGTTAGATATATATCTTTTTTTAAAAGGCACAGTGTGTCAGTCACTATGTTAGTCTGAATTTTAAAACTAACAGAACTATAATAAAAGTCAATCTGTGAAATGACAGTAATTATGACTTTTCAATGATGAAAATTATCTGTAATTCTCACAAATCTAATCTTAACTGTAATTGGACAGTTAACCAATTCTCATACATATTTTGAACTTTGACCTTTAGCCACCAAAATGAGTCCAGGTGAATGTTTTTACCAAATTTGAAGAAATTCCTTCAAGGTGTTACAGAGATATTTCGTTCTCTAGGCCAAAACTGTGTTTTGTGAGGTCACCGTGACCTTGACCTTTGACCTTTGACCCCCCTCTAATCAGGGACGAGGACACTGGCCTGAGGTCCAGAGTCCACCAACATCCTTCCTGAAACAATCCAGGGTTGAGTCTTTAGAGCAAATGTAGGTGCTGCTAACATTTGAACTCATCACCAACGGACAAACAGCTGTAACAACAGAAATCATTTCAACATCAACTTGTCTGTGATGTCACATCTCAACTTTAAATTGAGGCTGAGCTAAAATGAGTGAGACTGAACTAACTGAACTAGTGATCTCGTTAAAGGCCTTCAAGTCCATTGTCCAGTGTTTGTAAGGTTGTGGCCGCCTGAGAAACTAAGTAATTAAAATCACCATGGCAACGTATGAATGCAGTCGGGCACAAACAGCTGATTCAGATCAGTTGATGAGACGACTTCTCTGATGTCTTAATTAAGTTCAAGAGAGACTCGTAGTTCTCAGGGTCCAACAGCAGGTATTTGATATTCAGACAGAACCGTAGGGTTCTCCTGGAACTCCAGTTCCTCTGCTCCATGTCTCAGAAAAGGTCTCCAGATGTTACAGATGTACCAGCTGATCATCGCAGTATGGACCTCATTTTTCTACCCTCATATAAGATATTCTTGATCCATTACGTATGATTTGGAGGATTTATTCATAATGAAATCCTTCCATTTCAGTAGAATTAGACGACGGGCAGCAGCGTACAGAAGCCAAGAAGTCACACTGGGGCTTGTTCAAAGAACAGACATCAGAGGGTTCAATGTAGAGAACTATAATAAGACAGAGGTCGACGGTGACTTCAAGGACCTCTGGAAGTGTCGTAAACACAGAGGTCCAGTAAACTGATTCTCTGATGTCTGTGTTTCTGTCAAAGTCCTGCAGGAAATATGTTTTAGTGACGTTTTACTCTGGAGACGACCTGAAGTCTCCTGAGTGTGAGGACAAAGTGTGAATATGTTTTTGTGTTTGATGCTGTAGATGTTGATATTGGTTGGACAGAAGGCGGGAAATCTTGGCAGAGACACTAAGACTAAGGTGGAGGGGTCATGGGAATTATTTGGAAACTGTTAGATAAACAATTTCAGGAAATCTTGACCATTAAACATTTTGAGAACTTGTTTCTCTTTCAGTTCTCCTCCAGCCAAAAGGACAAAGTGTTTTCAGAGGTCTATGAGGAAATTTCTATTTCTCTGTAACTGAGACTCTATTTCAAAAGATTTTCACAATGTAAACCAAAATAAAAGATGGAGATTGTGAGGATTTATAATATGTTGGTTAAAAAAAGACTCAGGTTTTCAGTCAGAAGCTTTTCCAGAATCCAGTAAATTAAAAACATTGTAATGAAAGGATGAGTCCCCTCGGTGGAGCCAGTGGACAGAAACTCTGATGATGACGGACATCTGTGGATGTAAACCTGTTTATTTAGCAACTGTTGATTCACAATTAATACAATGAAATGAAATAATTAAACAGCTAAAGGGACAGAAAAGAGTTTTCCTTATGAAGTCTCATACATGCACAATTTCTCCTTCAGAAATGCTCTTTCTAACACCTTCAGGATGAAGGAGCTTTTTCTTCTTTAGTCTGTTTTTCTCCCTCTTCTTGTTCAACACGTCTTTGTCATTAAAATGTGTTAATACCAGGAGGCTGAGGAACAATGTCAAAATAAAAGCTCTAGTTTTATTTGCAAACAGACAAAAGACAGATGTTTCTTTCTTTTTGAAAATGTTGTTCAAGAAGTATAAAAGATAAAAACTCCGGATAGGAAATTATAACTATATTTGAAAGAAAGAAAGAAAGAAAGAAAGAAAGGAAGGAACAAGTGTAAATATACAGTCTGACAGTTCAGAGGATTTTCTGAGGACAATCTAACTTTCTTGTTTTATCATCAGTTGATGTTTTGTTTTAACAACAGACACGTCTGTCTTCACTTAATTACCCTGCAGGTAAACATACTGATTAATACATGTTTTTATCTTCCAGGACCAGAGATCATCAAAGTGACAGAAGGGAGTGATGTGACTTTACCCTGTTCCATCACAGGGAACATTGAGTCAAAGCGCTTTGACTGGAAGAAAGACGGTCAGAAGGAGGTGTATGTGTATGATGCTGGGCCTTCTTCCAGTAAAACTTATTCGGGTCAATATGAGCAGTTCAAAGGTCGTGTCTCTCATTTTTCTGGAGAACTGAAGAATGGCAACGCCTCCATAATGATCAGAAACACGAAGGTGGCTGACAGTGGAAACTACACCTGTGAATTTCAACATCTTCCAAATCAAAAATTCCTCATGAAGCTTCTTGTTGGTGAGTGCTTTCATCACACAGCTGATTATTTACAGATGAGACTGGTTTAAGAGTCCCACATGGACTTTCATCAAATAGTCAGAATACACATCTGGCAGGACCTTGTCCCCACAGCGCTGCAGTCACATCTGGACTGATTCCCTTTGTATCAAACGTTCAGTATCTGTGACACGTTGTAGATTATGTCATCGTGCTCAATCAACGTTCAGTGGTGTGAAAGATTATTAGTTCTCAGTATTTGAACAATTATCACGTCTCAGGTTTTATTCCCTTCTAGACGACACGTTGAACAAACTAGTTTATTTTAACAACTTCAGACTTTAACCCGTCTGGAGAAAACAAACCAGTCGAGTCTGTGAATGTTTGAGCAGCTTAAACTAGGACGTTTGTCAAAATCAGTTTTAGATGATGTGTAATAAATTCCTGTTTCTGTTACCTGTCCTGCTCAGTTGATAATATCACACAAAATAACATTTGTTTTTGTTTTTGCCTTTTAGAATGGTCCCTTAAACCTGTTTAGGGTTCATTTAATTATGTGCATTTCGTCTCTAACACCTTTCCACATTTTATAACTTGTGTATAATACCAAGACCAGGAGGAACTGATGCATTTCACTGCCATCACTGTAAAGCAACTGTCAGAGGTTTCATCAAGCTGTATTTTGATCTTACTTACAGCTCTGAGACACTTGAACTGATGAAGGTATTAAACAGGAAAAAAATAGAGCTTTCTCTTCTTTTCCATTTACGTCATATTTCAAATACAATAAATCAGTCAGAAAAGAGCTTAGGAAATTCCCAGGAATCTCTTCATCACTTTTCCACAACAATGTGCACAAACTTTCATGTTGATAAGACAGAAGTGTCTCTGAGATATTTTAGAAAGTGCCAGTACCAGAGCATCTCCATTCCAGTGACTACAGAGCTTTTAAAACCTTCCAAAGTGACCAAATAATGAAGATAAATGTCTTTTTATGGACTCCTGAAAAATGTCGCCTAAATGTTATAGTTGACTAAAAGAAGCTTTGTTACTATTTAGATAAAGATTTACATATTTAGTTCATTGAATCGTGTCTCTTTTGACTGATAAATAAAGTTTCTCTGTTGTGTCGGTGTCCCTCCAACCAAGAGAGTCAATACATTTAACTTCCATGTTTTATATGGTCAGGCAGGTAATTTTACCCGGCAAAAACTGAAGTGTTTCACGTGCTGACTTCCTATTGGATGAAGAGTAGCTGTCAATGAAAGGTCGCTTTACGTTCGTGAAAAATGTGCGCTCCTTCTGAATGTTGAAGGAGTTAAAGCCGTTAGTTTCGTCACTTTAGGTTCCGTTAGAAAGATGCTGATTGGTTAGTTTTTGTGCCTGGGCGTTTCTTGATTTCAAATATACCTGAAAATCATTGGTCTATATTTTTGTCAACGCATTGTATTTATATGACATGGTGTTGATTTAAAAAGTTTGACTTCCGCAGGGAAAATAATCAACTCTTATTCTTTAATTTTTTCTTCGGTTGAATTTGAACGATGCTTGAATTTAGTAAGTGTTCTGTTCTTCTTTAAAACGAGCCCAGTTTGGTCTTTACAACGTCTGTTTTTTGAACCTATAAAGGCTTTTAATGCAGCGACGCAGGTTTTAGCAAGCTCATTCTAACGTTTACTGCCGTAAAGTGAGACTCTAATGTTTAAATGTCGTAAACTATTGATTACATCTCCTAAATACGTTGACACATAACGAAACATTGAGCTTTCAAATTAGGTGTAAAGTGTATAATGGACCGTTTACCATCAACATGAAAATATATATCATATTTATATATTTCGTTTTACATGTAAATTCTCGGTCGCATGCAACCTTCGCGCCAATATAAGGTTAAAAGACAGAAGCCCGAGGAAAACATCCAAGGTGAGTCCTGATTCTAATGACGTCAACTCCTTCCGTCTCCATTTTTCTATTTTATCATGACTAGTAATTGTACATACACATTAACGGTTCTAGCTCTTCATTCTGGTCATCAACTCGATCTGTTTTCAGATTGGTTGAGATTTTTACTGGAGGGTTCATTGAAGGTTTCGCTGTTAGAATGGATACGAGACATTATGGGACCGAAGTTAATGGGGCAGAAGGTAAATAGGAAAAAACACTTCCTGCCAAGAAGAACAAAATTCAATAGTTAATTTTACACTAAAGTCAGTGTAATTAGCTAAACCTTAGGAAAAAGCAAATGATAATGCTGTACTTTAGATAATGCTTTGTGCTTGTGGTAGTGCTGTTAGAAGTAATGAGAGATGCTGCTTAGTGGTGACTAAGTGTAGGCCAAAACTTAGGTGTTGAAAATTGTTTGGATTTTATCAAACATTGCTGCTGACATGTGTCATTAAGGTTGATGTTGTGTTATTTCAACTGTTTTTCCCCATCTTAAACAACTCAAATCCACATGTACAAGTAGAGAAGGAATGAAGAAAAAAGATATTGTGTATTTGTCT